GAGGCCCCGGGCAGCGGCGGGGGGGCCGCTCGCTGGGGAACGGGTGTGTGAGCAACGTGTTCAGTGTTTCTGTCAAACGTGTTGTCATTCAGCAGGTAGGTGCTGTGTTTTGTCATCTAAATCCGCTTGGAAGACCAGCACGTTTTGCCTTTCCACATTTTTTCTCGTATTTAAATGTCAACACTTGCTTCCTTCACAACGGGGGTAACGTCCTCGGGAAAGTCACTCTTCCCATGGATTGTTGGAACTAAAACTGTTTTTCAAAACTAAAAATTCACAGCATCAGTGCTGTGACATATATAATAGTTTTGCAAAGTAATTCCTTTATTGGCAGATTTGGGTGGTGAAAATACCTTTATTTGAAGAAACAAATTGGATTCACCTTTCTGTATCGATTGTTGTTCTTGAAAAATGTAACATCCCTTTTCTTCCAACTTGCAGGTTAATAATTGTAGTCTGCAGCTGGTCATTCAGACCTCATCAATTGCAGATAAGAGCAAACCTGTAATTATTACCTTTTCTTTACCAGTTATATTAATGCAGTTGTATGACAGCCAATTCTTATGCTTTCAGTAGTAACATGTTGACTTTAAATGTAATATCTGATGTATCTCATGGTGTTTGGGCAATTTATTTCACCCTATTAAAGATACATAAAGTAGAAACGTGGAAATGTACATAACTGCCATAAACTTTTATGTATATATACACACACACACATATATAAATGATTTCTTATTCTTCCATTTGTACCTCTCTTCCTCCTGTAATTGTGGTACTCCTTAAAGGGTGGGGGTTTTTTTATCTTAATTTAATCAGCTGTAGAGGAATGTGTTGGTGACTTCCATATTTTCATTCTGCTTACCAACAGAGTAAAACTTACCAGTTGTAGTATCTTAACAGAATTAGTGCACTTTTATCACAGCAATTACTTAATTTAAAAAAATAATTTGTAAAGTTTTCTGAGAACTGTAGTTGTGACTAAGGCTTTGTCTGTGTCTAGATGTTACTGGCACTTGAAAACTTTTAACATTTATTTTCAATATTGTGTTACAGTTTGAATTCAGGATAAATAAAGAGCAGTCATCTTTCCACAATAGACTTCTGCAGCATGATTTGGAAAAAACCTACTCGGGAAGGCAAGGTGATATCACTAGGGTTTGATTTGTTTATTTGTTTCTAACTCAGAACCCAAATATGAAGAGTATTCCTGTTGTGCTTGCTTTGAAAAGCAAGATACTTGGTGACGCTGCTGCTAACAGTGCTGAAGCCTGGAAGAGCCTTGAAACACAACACTTCTTGCCACACTCCTGCAGTCTTGCCTATTCTATAAAAACAGTAATTGGCTCGGATAGATCAATTTATTTATCATGGCAATTCTTTACTCATTCTGGGAAAAACTAAAGACCAGTAGTTGTTCAGAATGGGTTGATTTTTAGGGTATTATGTGATATTATGGAGTAAATTTAAGTCTGCAGTTTGGTTTTGTTCCCCCACAGGAGACCATACAGTATTAAGTCCTTTGGTGCGTAATAAGCAGATATATCTTCCAGTACCATCCAGTCTGACAGAACTTTCTGGTTTGGACTTCAAGCAGGATACAGGTTCTTTACCAGGATTTGGCGAGTCCTCTTTTCACACCCCTACAAAATCCAGATCCCGACAAAACAGCCACAATATTGGTTCACTTGCTTCAGGTAACAGTGAGAACTTCTCTTGTTAGTCTCTTTTTTTAAGTTGAATTTTAATTTAGCTGGGTGCTGTATTGAAAAGTTGTGACCTGTAAAACATGCTGCTCCTGGTTGTCAGAATGTATGACTGAATTATTTATAGTCAATTATTATATACAGCAAAATTAAAGCAAATGTTGCCTACTGTTCACTTCGGGTTTCAAGAGAAATTGATAGATCATTGTCAGAAAACAGATATTTTCCAAAATAGCATGTAGGTATTTAAATATAGGCTTTTCCTATACCTTTCTGCAACAAAAAGGCAATAATAGGGATCTTTCACACATGTTTTTAGGAAGATGACATTAGAAGAAAAAAATTCACTATACTGCCATCCTGTAATGCTTTTTAAGTCTCTGATCTTATGTTTATCGGCTTAAAAACCTGAGACACAACTAGTTTAAGACTTTGGCAGCAATGTTGATTGATTGGTTTTGATCTCAATTGTTCTCTTTTCTTCACAGTTGTTTTTTTTTTTAAACTTTGAAGGCTACATAGAGAATGTTCTTATACTGGTTTGTTAGAGTAGCTAGTGATAAAATGTTGGAAAGTAGCACTGAAAAGATTCTAAATTGAAAAACATTGTTTTACTTATATAGGTATCTCTTCTAATGGCCTTTTTTAGATAACAGTGAATTCTACAGTGTTAAAGCAATTAATCTTTGTTAATTGAGGAATTATTTTTTTTTCCCCATTAACATTAAAAATAAGGGGCAAACATGTAGAAGCTGATCCTGTGTTCTTGTGGTAGTATGCATCCATGATGATCCCTTTTTGGCTTATATTTTTCAGTTTTATTTTCCAAATAAGCCAGAACACGTCCATTCCTATATTTTTGCAAGTATTTTTTGTCATTCTCTCTCTTCCCCTTTGTGAACAAAATGGATGAAGGTGAAAAGGTTTGTAAATATGTTTTAAAGGGATGCCTGTGTATTTCTTGAAAATAATACCAGTGCATGCACTTAGCTTTGAAAAGACTGGTTTAAGTTGTGGCACAGGTGGACTGTTACAATGTTTTTGTGCTTTAGTTTCTAGATCTGTTAGATAGTATCTTCTTTAAGTTCAGGTGCTGAAATTGGGAAACAATTATACACCTTAGCTTAACACATCAATGGGTATTTTTAATAAAAATAAAAGCATCTACAGAATATCTGCTTACAACCAATTGTTGTTAAAAATCTCTCAAAGTAAATAAATTGATGTACTTTGGAAAGAGGATTTAGAGGGATGTAGCTGTAAACAAAAACATGGCAGGAAAGAGAACAGACAGCACTGAATGGAGGCAAAATGCACTTTGATGTACTGTGTAACTCTTGTAATAAGAAAGAAAACTCTGGTTTTATTATCCATAGTTAATGAAATTATTCTACAAAGAAGTAGCTCATAAATTCTCTGTATGATTTTCTGATAGATAATATAAATTTTGGGAGCAGTTCATCAATAACATTTCCTGTGTTGCAACGTACTGCTGAAGAAAAAATCCTGAACTCTGATAGACTCAGCCTGGAAAGGTGAGAAGGTCACACAGCCCATAGCTTGTCACTCTTGGGTCTGATGGCCCAAAGGATGAGCATCCTTGCAATGCCTGGGGTCAGTGGTCAATTCTTTCAAAAAAATAATTCTAGTATTGGCTGAGGATAAGGTTCATGCAGTCCAAGAAGTTCTACCAGGTCTGTAAGACTCCTTCTGGAGTAATCCTAAAATAAGAATAACCATTTTCAGCATCATTTGCTATATCTTTTACTTTTCACATTAACACTTACTGGAAATGTGAAGTTCTATAACCAAAGAAAAGTTGCATAGACATAAAACACTCTTAACTCTGATCTACACAGGCTGCTTATGTGGTATCTGATGGAGGGGAAAAATTGCAGATTATTGTCTGTTTAATTTTAGTCATCACAACCCAAATCTATGTATTTTCCACTTAAGAAGCAACGCTCTGATTAAGAGGACAGACTTTCAGAGAAAGTGAAAGCACTGCTGCTATATTTTCATGCTGTTTTTTTCTCTAGTAAGAACTTACTGCCTTACTTACAGAGTATGACCTTAATCAAGGTATGTTTTCCTTGGGTGAGTAGAAAGTGGGTTACCAATTTGTTACTTACATACATGTCTTGTTTCTTTTTATTTCCAGGCAAAAACTAACAGTGTGCCCCATTATTGATGGGGAAGATCATCTTCGCCTTTTGAATTTCCAGCATAACTTTATAACCCGGATCCAGAATATTTCTAATCTGCAGCATCTTGTTTTCTTAGATTTATATGATAATCAGATAGAGGAAATAAGTGGGCTCTCATCTCTTAGATCCCTAAGAGTCCTTTTGTTGGGAAAGAACAGGTAAAAATAATAAAACTTACTTACACCACAAAGTAGTAAGGTGCTTTAATAACTGTGAACTATCATTGTTTTCATCACAGCTTTCAGTTTGTGCTGCTGGGTGTGAGACCACTGAGCTGGTTGGTAACACTAGCCAGGTGTTGGGGATCCAACCAAGGAGGCACACACTTTCTGCTTGTAGTGTTCTTCAGAAACTTCCTTTCTTATGTAAATTTTGACAACAGTTCTGAAGTATTTTAAGTGTTTCCATCTAATTTTCTGTTCTGATCGGCTATTAAATGCGTTCTTAGATTTGGGTGACAGGTGAGATCTCTTTCGTTATCACAAAGTATTTGTTTATTCTTTATGACCTATAAAAAGGGATTATGCCTGATGTATTTATTTAACTGGGGAAAAAAAAGAATAATGGATTTTGTTACTTTTTTATAGATCCTGTTCTGTTGGGAGATACAACTTGGGAGATAAAGGTTGTGTTAGTTTCTAAAAACAAAGTTAAAATCCTATAACTTTTAATTTTAATAATTTAATCAAAGTGTCTGTGGATTTGCTTGCACATCTAAGGGTTGTGTGCTGATTATGTTCAGTTTCCTTATTTTCTTTATGTTTAGTAAAGAAAGAGTTGGTAAATAACCTTATGTGCAGATTGCAAAGAATGTAACTCCTAATTCAGCCTGTATTAAAAACTGGCAACTTTCAGTAGTGCAGTGTGTTACTACAGCTTACAGCTCTTATGTTGAAAATCTCACCTGTAGAAACTGATTTTGTTTATAGCAAAATATTGGGACATGGAAAAGATAATTTTAAGGTGCTTTAAGGAATTGTTTTCCAAATTTTAATGTATTAGTGCTGTATAGTTTGTTTACATAGAAGTAGCAACTTTTCAGCTTCTTATCTATGGGATCTTTGATTATTCTTGAAGCAAAAGCACAGTACATGTGATTTTTAATATCGTCAGCCAGTAGATGATGCTGCAGAGTATTTAATAGCTTATGTTTAGACTCTGAGAAAATAGGACTGGAAAATTTTAAGACAGTGAAACTGTACAGGGATGAAATAATACTGAGTGTAGGTACCTACGTAGTCTAGAAAGGGCCAGTGGCTTTCAGATTTTGGGATTTTGTCAAAAAAATAAGAAAAAGCTTGTGTCAGTATAGTCTTTCTTTAAACTGCTTTGGAATGAGTAATGTGGGTTTTTTTGTTATTTAGGGATCTGGGTAGGTTGGTTGTTGACTTTGCTTTCTAGTGGTGCAAGTGCTCCTTCCCTTTTCATCTTCTTAGAAGAGCCATGTACGTGTACACTGCTGCTATTGTGTTACTGACAGTCAGAAAGGAAGGGGATAGTTTCAGGCAGACTCATTAATATATTTTTTTTGCATGGTTCATAACTTTGTTGTTCTCTGTTACTCTTCATAGGCAGGAACAAATGGCTATGTTTTGTATTAGATGGTAAATTAAAGAAACTTTTTCTCTAATGTGAAAAATAATTTGTGCCATAATTGAAATCTTTCAGGATAAAGAAGATTTCAAATCTGGAAAACCTAAAAAATCTTGATGTTTTAGATCTTCATGGGAATCAGGTACAGTACAATAACTTGATTATTTATGTTTCTTGTATAGACATTATGCATTTCCTGTTTTTTACCAAACTATTGCTTTTTGAAAGGAAGCTGGTAGCAAGTTTTGCAACTCTTGAGGTCACAGAAATCGGGAAATAAGTAAAAGGTGACATTATATAGTTATCATGGTTAAAATTTTAAATGTAATTTTTTTTTTTGTTCATGGAGTAGTAGAAGTTAAGAGGAAATCTAGTTTTAATCATAGTTTTTTCCTCCCTCTGTCTTGGGGTATAAACCAAGTCCATATATGGAATGTGGAACTTCTAAGACTGGAATATTTGCAAGAGGTTGGAGCTGAGAAAAACAGAGGAAAATTTAATTTTGTTCACTTCTGGGAGAATATTTTTATTTACTTGGGTGCTGGGTTTTTTGGTTAATATGACTAGATCTGAACTTTGAGACTTCTCCCAACCGAGTGAGAAACGTACTGGAAACCCCATGTTTTTTAAAACAGTGAGGTATAGTTATATATGCTTAATGATAAACCTTGTATGATTTTTTTTTTTTTTCTAAACCAAGCTTTTAAATGCGTAACTATTTAAATAAAATCCATTCACATAATAAATAGCCGAAAGAAAGAAAAAAATAAATCAATTTAATGTCATATTACTACATTTTGTTTTTCTACATGATTTAGTAGAGGTCTTGTTTTTAATCCTTCCCAGTAAATATTTATATGGAAATACAGCATCTTAATAACATTTAATCAAATTTTTATCTAGAGACTGTTTCTGTGGTTATTAACATGCTCATGGAACACACTTCATCATTTGAAGCCCCTGCACATGATTGTGTGCATGGTATATTTAATGCACTGCAACTTAAAATTTATTTTGAACTAAACATTTAATTTCTAAATAGTGTGCTTCCAAGCACTATAAATAGTGGATGGAGAGAATGTGAATTGTTAGCTTAATCTTTGTTGTAAATAGTAAAAATGGTATATGTTCGATATAAATATGTTTAAAACCTTTGTATTTTAGGAAGGGTGAAAATGGACTTTGTCTTCTAATGAACTGATTTATTCCTATTGAGTCAAGTATAAGCTGAATTTCATTTTAACTTTATCTAGAATGAAACTGATTCTGTAATGTGTTAAATTTTAAAAAATCAGTGGTCACTTTTTGTGTTCTGTTTCGTTCTGTGAATAATTGTCCTTGCAAAAAATTCAAGGGCAGAAGTAAAAGAAGAAGAAAATGCAACTTGATTTTTTCAGGCTTGAACTTACTTTTGATAATCTCAGAAATGTGTGTTAAAAGATTCAGCTTCTATGTGGTTTAACTGTACATGGGGGTAATGTGATGCATAACAATCTTTTCTGAAACATATCTATTTCATAGCCAAGTATTCAAACATAAAACCAAACAATAGAATAGAATAGTGTTTTTGTTAAATGTTTATAGTCTTTCACCTTTGTATTTGAAAAAGCAACTAAAAATTAGTTGGTAATCCTTTTTGTTTTATAATTAATAAAAATAGTCCTAGTTCCTTTTTAGTAGAATAAATTCCCTAAAAGGAAGGGATAATGGATTTTTATCCAACCCACACCCAGTATGCATTAACTTGATTGCTGATCTGGAGTTGAACCAGGACACTAGTGTTATCTTCATGTGTGCATGTATAATTGAAACAGAGAAAATCCAGTAGAATTAATCTTAAAACTTAGCTAGGTGATGAAGAATATATGTTGCAGATGAAATAATTATATTTGTGTTAGCAGTAAAATGGCAGGATTAATATTCTGCATTGTGGCATGTTGCAATTTTAGCTAAGCAGACAACTGCAGAGGTCTGTGCTCTTCATGCCAACCATCTGCTCTTGGCTTTGCTTTTGCAGGTCTTTTTGTCAAAATATATTGTTCTAATTGGTGGTATTTTCTCTTGCTTTTGCTGCAGTATTTCTTTTTCCTGATAATTTTTATTTCCTACATATAATACACATAAATGGAAGTGGCATAATAGTTAATTAGCAGTTGAATCTAAAGTTGGTTTAAGATGTTAAATTTTGCTTTTCCTATCTACATTTCTATGCTTTTTAATGGAAAAATATCTGGAATACTACTTATAGCACCATATTCCAGTCATATATATGCATAGGTATGTATCTAAGTCCATTTTATATGTGTACATACATATATATATATAAATTACCAATAAAATTGTGTTCTCAAACTGTTAAATAACAACTACCTTACTTCTGCTCACATCCCAGGAGCTGATAGACACTTTCTGGAAATTAGCACGGCCAGATTTGTCCTGGTCTAAAGCATCAGATAGTTCATTGTCCCTGGGATGGGGTGTGATGCCAGTTGCTATCTTGCTTGTCTGCATCTAATTGCTCTTGGCAGCTTTGAGGAGGAATAGCATGTTGGGTGTTGAAGGGAGCTTCCAGTGGTCCAGCAGATGATCATTCTAATTGAAAAGGAATTCATTGTACTTGTTAGCAGCTTTGTGCACTGTATCCTTGGATGCACTGCCACACATTGTGGAAGGCTGAAGTCTTGTCTTTAGGATAATGGGCTCCTTTCTTTGTGCCATACAGTATGGGTTTCAGTAACACTATGACAGGAGTATCCCCTGCACAGTGGCAGTACTTTGTCTTCTCCATCATAGATTGCTGAATGCAAGTCTTGCTGAAATGTTTGAATAGGTGCTGGAAGACAGAATGCAGAGCACTATGAGAGATAAATATCTGGATAGAGATCCTTGAGTGGATCACTCTGCGAAATACAAACAGCAGAAAATGAACCTAGATAAATTGCACTTGCTTTCTAGAAGTCAAAGTAAAATTAAGGTGCAGTAGCTATTATTACTCTTCTGATGTGTTTTTTTTTTAAATCAATATCATGACAATCTTTAAAGTAGGCTGTTAAGTATAAAAACAAGACTCTGGCAGCTGCCTGTTTACTGTATTTTTATTTGTAGCTTTATTTGATCCCCTCCATTTTCTAATCACAGGAAGCCGTGAGTTACTGAAGAAGTGCTGGGCACTATCAAGCAAAGGTGCTGTGTATCCAAATAAAGGATGCTGCTGCTTTTTTATCTAATTTGAGTATATCTTACTCATTCCAGCAATAACTTCCTCATACAATTTCCTCACAGGTTCCAATTTCAGAATAGTTGTTTCCTTCTCCAGAGGGCTGTAGTAGCTCCTTGCCCCTGACTTACAGCAGCTTCCTGTCCTCATAACCTGCTGGGAAGTCTGTCAGTGGAACGCCTGTCAGCAGAGCTGTGACCTTCTGGCTTTTTAACAGGCATGAAGGGAAATTGGTGCAGACATCTGTGGTGCCAGAGAGATGTGATGACACATATCCTTGCAGCATAGGTACCAGAGATTTGGATGTGTGTTTGAGTGCCTTTGCTGACAAATTAAGGATGAACCATCCACAAAAATCTCCTCATTTTGGTATACCATGATATCATCAATGTCATCTTATTTTTATGGTATCATCAAGATTGCTGAAAAAAGTTACAATCTGCTAGAGATTGAGTACTAGTATTCGGTAATATGTTTCTACTCATACTGCAGTAAAATTAGTTAACCCTTCCTTAGCATTAGAAATTCAGGTACTTCATCTGTGCTGTTCTGTAGCAGCAATTTGTGACATGATTATTATGGTTTAGAAAAATACACAAGAAGCACTCTGTATTAAGTTGATGGTTCATGTATGCTTTTTAAAAAGCTACATACATGTAAGTGCTACATACATCTATTGCATATCTATATAAAACACATTATGCCTTTTAGTAATGATACCTCTTTCACAGATTACTAAAATAGAAAACATCAATCATTTGAGTGAACTGAGAGTGTTAAACCTCGCCAGAAACCTGCTGACCATTGTAGAAAACCTTAACGGACTGGATTCCCTCACAGAGCTCAACCTTCGTCATAATCAAGTCTCTGCTATAGTAAGGAACAAAGTTCTTGTATTTTTGTTTTCTTTTGGTTTGTTTTTAACAAAATGCACTATTTCTGTAACTTTTTAAAACTATATCAGCATTTCAGATTTGTGAAATCTTGTGTTTTCCCATATTTTGTTGCTTTTCTTGTTGCAACACACACTCTTACAACATACAGGCAAAAAAACCCAACAGTTTATTTTTGGTATTACTTTGTTTAGGTGTGATTGCTTGTATGGAAAGCTCATGATGGTTTAAAAAAGATTCTGAAGTAGCTTTGTGGTTCTAACACATGAATTTGGAGACTTCTTTCATACAGTGTGTTTCCTAGGAACAAACCCTCTCTTGGTTGCTGTAGCTCAGCTAAGCACCCAGACCATCTTAAATTTCATCTCCTCATTAATATTTCTGAGGCAAATGCAGAGAAAACAGGTATTGATTTTAAAAGCAGAATTTTCTAACTGTGCCTTTAACCTAGTATTTTAAGTCTTTATGTTCTAAAAAATAAAGCTTTGGACGTTGCAGTTTGAGTTGTAGTTCAAGTATGGCAAGTAGATTAATTGAACAAACACATTTTAAAACAGTACAGTAAGTTTACTTAAATAGCTATGTTTTTCTGGCCCTTGTAAATCCTTTAGTTCTTGGTGTCTGCCATTGCTGCTGCTTTTCCTTTCTTCTACTTCTGCTACTTGCCATGGATGAACTCAGAAATAAGAAATTTCTGCTCATTGCTGTTTCTGTTACTGTATCTTTACCTAGAATTTTCTTCCTTGCTTGTAGCTCCTGCCTTTTCACTCCTCTAGGGTGTAGCTTGTGCTTGCTCTGTGCTTTGTGTTGACACAAATGAAAAGTCAGCATGAAATTTCAAGTAGTGACTTACAGGCTTGAACTCCGTGCTGTATCTCAATGTAATATTTTAGTCTTTCTTGTCCACAAAGTGTTTTGGAAGATGATCTGTTCAGGGCAGTGCTTTATTTTCTGTAATTGTGGTTTGTTGTGGATTTTTTTGTTTGGTTTGGTTAGGATTTCTTTTTTTATCTTGGTTAAATACTAATGGAATGGTGTTTTGTATGTGTGATTTTGTTTCATTTTTAATTGGACAATGATTTTAGCAGATACGATGCTAACTCTCCTTCCTCTAGAGAAGGACTCAAATCATATTGAAGTCAAGTCTTGGAAACAACATGCTGTCTGAAAATTTAAATACCTTTCTCTTTCAGTACATTTTTTGTGAACCTTCTTTATTTTCCATCTTCCCCCTCCACCTGCTCTAAGTTTATTATTCTTGCCTTTGAAGTATTCATTAGAGATTTGCAAATCCTTGAATCATGAGTGGTTAATACTGTAAGAATGAATTATGGTTCGTCCAAAGCCATAGTATTTTAAAAGGCTTGCTTTCTAGTTGAATCACATATTATAGGATTGGAAGTGTCTTCAAAAAGTCTTAACTATTCTCAAGAAGAGCAAATAGAATAAATTATTACAAAGGGTCTCACAGCATTAAAAGCATGAATCTGTACATACCACAAATTATGGAATGCCTGTTTACTTTCCATCCAGTTGTGAATTCGGGTCCACTGTTAGCAAGATGAGCCGTGTTTGTTTGTGGTTCTTCTTGAAAGATGGACCTGCTTGATTGCTTTGGGCTATCAAGAGTAGAAATTTGGGTTTTGTCATTTGCAGCTTGATCTTGGACTTGAAAGAGGAATGGTCAAGGTGTTCACCATCTTTTAACAAAAAACTCCTGCCCTGTATGTCCACTGTCCTATTTGACTTTGTATCAAAACTGAAGTGTCTGGAGGCTTTGCTTTTTTTGTTTCTTCTTGTTTGGTTGTTTTTTCTCCAATCCTGTTTTTTTTGTAATGCCTAAGATGTTTGCTGTCATGCCTGTGTGACTTGCAACCTATGTTACAGGACAGCAACACATCAGCTGGTTATTGTCTTTGGGGGAAATTACTTTGTATTCTCCAATACAAAATTATTTGATTAATTAAAATCCTTGCTGCTTAAGAATAACTGTTCACAGCCCTATAATGCCTGTCTTCATGTGTATATCCACCTGTATCAGGTGCACTCACCCCTTTAAGCATTGACACTACTGAGTAGCCTTAGGGACAGGGGCGATGTTCAGATGTAATTCTGTTGTGAACTCAATCTTTCCATGGCCTGATCTGGGAGGATTTAGAACAGGTCTGAAGCAGGAGCTTTGCTACTGCAGAGCTGAGCTAGTAAGCCCTGCTTATTGTAAACAGAGCTCTGGCTCTCAGTAATGCTTGTTAGCTCGCATTCAGTGTTGCATTAATAGCAGCTGCATGGTTTGTTTAGAGCTGGGTAGTGAGCCCTGTGACATTGCTGTCCACTGGTTCTAAGTTGAAGCATGTTCTTTAATAGGATAAGGAGATACAGACTTTCAGCTGAGGGGCTGGGTGTGCAGTCTGAATGGCATTTGGGTGAGTGTTGAGTGTGTTGTCTGGCCTTTATGGGCTTATATTTCATAAATGAAACTCGTTCATTATTATAAATTTTAATTGTAAAGGAGACAGAGTCCCTCAGATCATTCTCTGGCAGAAGAGTCACTGCTGTCTGGTAGTGCAATGGTACTGCTGTATTGCACTAAAAAGCCTTATTTCAGCATGATCACAAGATAACCTTTTTTTTTTTCTTCACAGTGTGTTTATCCTGCACCTTAAATGCTGAGACAGCACCTTGGCTTATTTCCCAAAAGCCTGTTCAGAAACCAGCAGCAGCCTTACTCTCTTTTCTTTAACATGATTTGCTTTGCAAGTGATGCAGCTTATTCTGCAGAGTAGATATCTGCACTGAAACACTCCCTTGCAGTCTGCGCTACAGAGAAATGGAGATGCATGTTCAACAAAAATCAATGTTGCAGCAAGGTTATAGCATATAGAAATGAAAGTATTTCATCAGGCAAGGCAGAGAGGGTCAAGAGCTACTTTCAGCTACTGAATTTATGCCTCTATCTCTCCTTCTAGAAAGATGTGGATACTTTGCCCTGTCTTCAACGTCTCTTCCTCAGCTTCAACAGCATATCTAGGT